CTTAGCGGGTCGGGTTTGTTTAGTTTGACCCGGATCAACGCAACCTGCTTGGGTCGAAGAAGTTAGAAGTAGTAGTTACGAGGCCACTACTACTCATTCTTATTGGGCCCAGCCCCTTACCGAAAATAGAAGAATAAAATCGACCCGCTAGGAATTCAAATTTTGTGCACTACACAGATTTGCTGCGAAAAGCAAGAGACGGCATAAACCAAAGATCAGTAACTAGGATGAATATAAATCTCTAATTATTAGGGACAAAAACGGAAGAAAAAAAATTAACAGATCATTCCCAAAAACAAACGCTACTTGAGGTAGATTTCCAAAAACTACTTACAAAAGACACAATCTACAAAGTAATCTTCTCCTATTTTTTGTCACCAAACAACCCTACTAACTTATTGACCAAGTCAATAAGACATAATCTCTTGTTGCCAAACAGTGCCTTTGTGCACTACACAGATTTGCTGCAAAAAACAAGAGATGCCATAAACCAAAGATCAGTAACTAGGATGAATATAAATCTCTAATTATTAGGGACAAAAACGGAAGAAAAAAAATTAACAGATCATTCCCAAAAACAAACGCTACTTGAGGTAGATTTCCAAAAACTACTTACAAAAGACACAATCTACAAAGTAATCTTCTCCTATTTTTTGTCACCAAACAACCCTACTAACTTATTGACCAAGTCAATAAGACATAATCTCTTGTTGCCAAACAGTGCCTTTGTGCACTACACAGATTTGCTGCAAAAAACAAGAGATGCCATAAACCAAAGATCAGTAACTAGGATGAATGAATATAATAAAAACAAAATAGTCTCACATAGCTCAGTTTCAAAAATATACAAAACATTGTCATATCTATGAAACTAACTGATCCTAAACAACCGGAATTGATTACCATTTTGAGGACATCCGTATTAAAAAATATTAATGCTGCAGATACCTATCTATGGGAAAATTACATGTAAACAATCGTTTAGAGAGTTAGACTATGTCAGCATTATCATGGAATAATTTTCGGACCATCATTTAGCTTTTGTTAGCCCAACAAAAAAAAAGATAAAATGTATCATCTCTCCATTTAGCTATTATATTAAATTTGTATGGACCTAAAATTTAAATTTAACGAAATAAGTAAATATCATTTTGCAGACAACATTACCTAGGGGGAAACAACTGAGAAGAAGAAGAAGAAGCTGAGTCATTTGCCCAGGGTGCTGGTGGTGCAGTTGAGTCAGCAGATCCCCTCGAAACCAAAGGACGTTGCCTAATGAAAGGATTTGTAGAATCTTTTGTTGCTGAAGATGAAAACAGTTGTCTTCTGTTCTCATGAACCTTCATGTTCTGCAAATTTAACATACAGCTGGGTTAGCTTTTATACATATACATATACCTAACTCAATATGAGTAGAGCAAAAGATCTCATTGTACCTCTGTCCGCATGGTTAGGACTTCTTTGAACTCCTTCGTTGCACTCATCAAACGGTTCTTCAAATTATCAACCACAGTAGTTGAATGGCTGGTAGTGTCATTGGATATATTGCCAGTTTCATTCTGCGAATTACAGAGAAGTTGCAGATCTACAACTGCAGAATTTAAAGCTGTAATATCTTGCTTAATGACTGCTGTAAGTTCCTGTATCTCAACAGTTGGATCATCAAAAACCGATGTTCTCTTTGCCACTGCATAGAAAGGGGGAAAAAGAATTCAGCCTCAAAAGGTAGCTGCACTATGTTCAGAAGAAAACAAAAAGGAAAACGAAAAGAGGCTGCTCAATATCTTGATACCTAGATCCTTAAGAATTAGAAACAAATATACATGATGCAATGATCAACATCATTGACCTATTGGCAGCTTTGCTAACAGAGTACTTGCAGGGTTCACAAATTGATGCTTTTCTCATATTTATGAATAACCAGTAGGTCTATTGGTTCTCCTAAGCCACAATCATTCTTACCGAGAGGGTGACCACAATGATATTTAAAGGTTAAAAAATTGCCCGGAACTTTTCTGAAAGCACAGGCAAAATATGTTGAATGTATAAAAATTTAAAAAACATGGTACAAATATTATACAAAACAATTGAGAGTTGATGAGATGAGATTCGCTTTATATGAGCTTTTTTCCCAAAAAAAACAAATCTAAAAGGAGGAAAATTAGGCTTCTTATTGATAATGATGAATAATGAAAGAACAAGAGCCTAAAAAAGCTTTAACCATCTATTTGTCTATCACAACATGTTAGTATTATGTTGTCCAAGAGGTGAATGAATATTGGTCATATAATCAGTAAAAAAAACAAGGCTGTCAGAAATAGATACGGCTTTAACAACATAGTGAGTTACTTACATAAGCTGAGAAAGGCGGGCCTTTACACACTTGTAAGAGAAACACCAATCATGATTAGGTTAGATAACTTCAGTACATGTCCTTGACCTTATGCTAGGACAACAATAAACACATCAAACTCTTCATTTTTGTGAAATATTCAGTTGGCGACATGAAGTCTTTTCCATTCATCTCTGTCAAGAGTCCTCTTTTTCCTTAAAGGAATAACAGACATATCTTTTACAATCACAATAATCCATGTTCTTCTAGGTCAAGCCCTAGTCTACCTATGTTCATCAACCATGCTTCATCATTCCTAATCAAACCATTTAACGGCCTCATTACACATATACATATAGTCTCCTTAATTTTGTCTTCAATTGGAACCTCTAACTTTTTATGGAGACATGTCTTATCATATCTTGAGTGCCACAATAAGGAGCCAGTGCATCTATAGGAAGTTTAATGTACATTACAATAAGTTTCTTAAAAAAAAACCTAAACTGAGTTCAAGATGATTCTATATCTATGACTTAATTACTGACATCAATACTAATATTTAAATAGTAGTTTCACATGTCTCAGCAATTACTAATTTTTGCAGCCCCAAATATCTGTCTTTCCTTTTCATAGCTCAACCTCATTTTCTCCTTTACATACTACCAATTCTCAATTGAAACTATCTCTGGAACTAATTTATCAATTAGCAATCTCTGACTTTCAAAACTATTTATACGTAACAAAGTCAGCTAATAAGGTTACAAAACGCTCCTTTATTAAGTAGTGCCATCTAGAAAAGACAAAAAAAAAAGAGCTAATTTCTCTTAAAAAAACACAACTGAAAGACCGGGGAGCTTTTTTTTTAGATTTATAACATCCCCTCAGCACGCTGAACCAATGCACCAGGAAAGAAGTCAAGTGCAAACTTAGAACCTCCAATATCATAGGAATATTCAAAACCCAGAACTCCTCATCGCTTCTGCACTTAATAAAGCACTCAATATATAGACTTTTTTTTGTACGAGAAAGGACGCAAAATATAGACTTCTTTAACTGAGATTATAAGCTTATGTCCTCTTCTCGCACAAAACATTACAAATTTTTTTGATAATGATAAATCACTCTAATTAGCATCAAAATGCATTCTATTCTTGGATTTGAGTAACTTGACTTAATGACAATGTTAGCTTTCTCATAATCAAGGAATACCAAATCCATTTGGAATTATGTTTCTCCGCTTTCACCTACAAATTAGTGAATAGACCATTTTAACTTCAATTCCTCAGATTGGAAAAAGGTGTTCACCTTCACTTAAGAATCTAATCACAATCTTATTCATTATAAGAGAAAATACCAAATCCATTTGCATAGACATCCAACAGAACAATATGAACCTGAAAAGGCCCCGAAAACCAGAAATCAAACAGCAGGAACCAAACTGCAATTCTATATGATTCTTATGCTCTATTTGCACATGCAAGTCATCCAGTGCAGCCAAATGGGCCCTTTGAGCGATCTATATACAGAAAATTCAGCTCCTCCGCTTCCTAAATTATTTATTCATATAACTGTATATAAGAATAACAGCATGCACATTAAGCGAAATATTGGCCAAAATTGTAGCATTCCCACTTACATTTCGCCAGTTTGGCGAGCTTTTGGGAGGTCTGATGGATCCCAAGACCAATCTTGGAAGCTCTCTTGTTGAATTCGGAGTGAACCGAGACCCCCCGAGACTTCGGCCTCTCGGCCGCGTTCACAGCGGAGTTGCCAAACTGCGCGTCCGGTTGATGAGAGGGGATCGACTTCTTCAGTCTCCGTCGCCGCGTCTGAAACTCCTGCGTCCGATCTCTATACGACGACTGCGCCGACCTCGAATGCATCTCGACTTCTCTCTAAGATCTAGAATTTAATGGAACAAATTTCAACCGACGGTAGGTCCAGATCTGGGAGCGGGTGTTGAAACGAGCCTAGGGTTTGAGCTCCCCCCACAAACTTCACGAATTGATCCCTCGATCTTGAATCTGAGGAGGCGAGGGGGGTGCAGATCTAGGGTTGGGTGATGGAACGAGGCTAGCGTTTTGAGAATTGAGGGGGGATTGGAGGGGAGGTTTCGAGGGAAGGGATCGATAAGCAGAGGAGGGTGGAGAGGTGGTGGGCGGCGCCCGCGCGCGCGCGGCGAGTTTTTTACCCGTCGAGATCTTCGGCGCGATGGGACAACGGGCGAAAGCGTACGCGGAGTGTCGATTTATCTTATGGAGTATGCTGCAGGCTTCCGCCAGTTACGCGGAAGCGACCGACACGTAGCGGTCGGGTTTGTTTAGTTTGACCCGGATCAACGCAACCTGCTTGGGTCGAAGAAGTTAGAAGTAGTAGTTACGAGGCCACTACTACTCATTCTTATTGGGCCCAGCCCCTTACCGAAAATAGAAGAATAAAATCGACCCGCTAGGAATTCAAATTTTGTGCACTACACAGATTTGCTGCGAAAAGCAAGAGACGGCATAAACCAAAGATCAGTAACTAGGATGAATATAAATCTCTAATTATTAGGGACAAAAACGGAAGAAAAAAAATTAACAGATCATTCCCAAAAACAAACGCTACTTGAGGTAGATTTCCAAAAACTACTTACAAAAGACACAATCTACAAAGTAATCTTCTCCTATTTTTTGTCACCAAACAACCCTACTAACTTATTGACCAAGTCAATAAGACATAATCTCTTGTTGCCAAACAGTGCCTTTGTGCACTACACAGATTTGCTGCAAAAAACAAGAGATGCCATAAACCAAAGATCAGTAACTAGGATGAATGAATATAAATCTAAAATCCCTCCCCCACCCCCCCCCC